AGCAAAGTTTTCGAAACGCAGAAAAGACAGACAAGTGCTGCTGCAGCAAGAGGCTCGCGGGCGAAACGCGGAAGCCGAAAAAGAGGAATCCGCGGCGGATTTGGCTCCTTTTTTCTTCCTTTTCTTTTCTTTTTGCGGAAAATAAACAAAAAAACAAAAAATAAATGAATTTAATTGCCAATTTGCTGCTTCAGCACAGATTTGCTGCTGCGTTCTGCAGCAGCAGGCAGCCCGACGGCGCCTCGCGCTCGCGCGCGCCGCAGCAGCTGCAAATTCCCTTCTTTGCGGAACTAGGCCTTCAAAAGGAACAGAAAAAGGCCAAAAAGGGAAGTAATCCTCAAATTCTAAACCCTAAACCCTAAACTCTAAACCCTAAACCCTAAACCCTAAACCCTAGGCCCTAGCGCAGCAGCGCAGACGGCTCTGGTAGCGATGCTGCCGACCACTGGTGCAGCGGCTGCCGGCGCTGCGGCGCCAGTTTTCCCTTTTTGTTCTTTTTTCGCCGAATTAAAGAACTAAATTGAAAATAATTATTAAAAATAAAACCAATTTGCAAAAGGGAATTTTAATTCGCGTTTTTGGCGGCTCAAAAGGCCTTTTCGCTCGAAGATCGACGCAGCAGATCCGCCGCAGCTGCCGCCGAAGAAAGCCTCGAGACCCGCCGCAGCAGTCTTGTTCTTCGAGAAAGCCTTTTAATTCAGTTTAAGAAATCCGTTTTAAATTAAAAGAAATGAATTTAATGAAAAGAAATATATTTTAATGCAAATAGACAATTATATCTTTCAAAGAAGCAGCCGGCGTGCTGGTGCAGCTGCTGCTGCGCCTGCGCAAAACTTGAACAGAAAGCTGCTGCTGGCAGATCTTCACGCTTTTTAAACGATCTCGCGATTATTAAATTCAATTTTAATTTCTTTTTATTTTCCGCTTTTTTTTAATTCAAAAGAACCGCAAAAAACGCATTATCGAGCACTTCGACGCAGCACAACTCGCGCGGTGTCTGTTGTGCAAGTTCAACTTGTACAGCGCCTCTACTGAGGAAAATAAAAGAAAAGATGTCTATTAAATGCTTTTTAAATGAAATAAACGTTTAAAATAATTTAAAAATTAAAAAAAAAAGGAAAAAAAAGAAAAAAAAGGGGAAAAAACGATTAAAACACCTTTTGTATGAATATATTTGCGCATGCGTCTTGGAATGAAATTCAACTTTTGGCCTGCAGCCAAAAGTTGAATTTCGGCTTTTCGCAGTTTTGTTTTGTCTTTATTTAATTCTTTTAATTATAAATGTATAAAAATAAATTTATTTTAATATTAAATTCATATAATTGTTTTTATATGTTTTTAATTTATTCTTTAATCCCGTTTGTCTGCAAATTTTAATGGGTTTAGGGTTTAGGGTTTAGGGTTTAGGGTTTAGGGTTTGGGCTTGCAGCACCTCGCTGGTTAAGACTGCCGTCTTAAGCCTCTGCAACGCTCAACGAGGTGATGCAAGCCCTTTGCCTAAACCCTAAACCCTAAACCCTAAACCCTAAACCCTAAACCCTAAACCCTAAACCCTAAACCCTAAACCCTAAACCTTAAACCATAAACCCTGAGCAGCACTAAACCCTACATGGAGAACTGCAGCCCTTAAAACTATTTGTGTTGAACCCTCGTGCCTAAGGCGGGGCCTGCAGCGGGAAACCCTAAACGTTAAACCCTAAACCCTAAACCCTAAACCATAATTTCCAACTTTTCGTTGTTTGAGGAAAAAAGAAGATTTTGCAATTCGCTTCTTTTAATATTTCGTTTCTAATTTTATTTTACTTTTCTAATTTAGCTGAGCCATTTATTAAGCACTTCTTTCCCCCATTTTCCCCTTTGCAGCACGGGCCAAGTTCAAGTCCCAAGGCTTGCTGCAGCAAAATGTACATTTTGCTGCAGCAAAATGCGCCATTTTGCAGAACGAAGAAGCAGCAACGAATTATTTTTTAAAATAATGCAAACCAAACAATAAAACGAATGCGAATTACGAATTAAAAGCGGGTTTCCACTTTTTCGAGTTTCGAAGCTGCGAGCAGCGCTGGGGTGTACAGACACCTCGCAGCCGCCGGAGCGCATCCGCCGGCACTCCGGAAGCGGAAAAGAGTGAAAATAAACGCGAAGAGGAAATCAGAATAAATTAATTTGCAATTTTCTTTATTTTGAATTGTTCAAAGTGCGAAATGTCGGAAAGAACTGCTGCTTCCCCGGGGGTTTCGCCGCTGCTCAGCAGCAGCCAGCCTTCGGAGGGCTCGGAAAGCAGCGCGTTTGTGGCGGAAAAAGCGGAAAAAGAAGAAAAAAAAGAAATCAGAAAATCAAATTTGCAAAATGCAAATTTAATTCCGCATTTTGAAATCCAAAAAGTCGATATTTCCTCCGCTTTCCAGTGAGCCTCTTCCTGCAGCTTTCCCGACAGCCCAAGTCCACGCCCGCAGACTCAACGTCGAGGAAGAATGCATGCGTTACTTCGCAGCTCTTTCCGACAATATTCACGAAGTAAAACAAAATTAAATTAAATAAATTAAATTAAATAAATTAAATTAAATTAAATTAAATTAATTAAATTAAATTTAATTTAATTTAATTTAATTAAAAGAAATTAAAAGAAATTCAAAAAGTTCAAAATTTCCAACTGCAGGCCGCGCTGCGCACTGTGAAGTCTCTTGCAAAGAGGAAAGTTGCATTTCAAGACGAAGACGTTCACGAGGGCATCAAAGTGAGATCTTCATTTTAATTAATTAATTAAATTAATTAATTAATTAATTAATTAACTAATTAATTAATTAATTAATTAATTAATTAATTAATTAAATAATTAATTGATTAAATTAACTAATTAACTAATTAATTAATTAGTTAATTTAATTAATTAAAACAATTAGAATAATTAATTAATTCTTTTAATTAATTAAACTAATTTAATTAATTAATTAATTAATTAATTAATTAATTAATTAAATGATTTAATTTGATTTGATTTGATTTGTTTCAGAAACTGAAAAAAGAACTGCAAATGCGGCGCGCGGAAATCGCGGCGGAATTCAACTGCGCAGGTGCTCGGGTGTCTGTACACCTCAAAGTAGCTTCGCTCATGGCTTTTTCAGGCCGCAAAATGCGGGAGCAGAAAAATCATTTAAATGAATTTTCAAAAAGAATAAAAGAAAAGGTATTTGATTTAAAACAAGTCCAAAGCTGCAGCAAAAACGCATGCAATCCACTGCAGCAGCAGCAGTACAAAGAACAAACTGCTGCTCTTTTTGCTGCTCTTGACCGAAAGATTGAAATCCATTTTAAGAAATTAAAAGAAGAAATTAAACCTCCCCAACAAAGAAAAGCTCCGCTGCAGCAGCCCCCTGCTGCTGCTGCTGCTGCTGCTGCTGCTGCAGCGCCTGCAGCAGCAGCAGCAGCAGCACACTGCCGCGGTCGAGGACGGCCTGCAGCGCCGAAGAGGCTCTGAACTGCAGCTTTTATTTCTTTTGAATTTCAAAAAACTTTTAATTAAAAAGTTTTTATTTTATTTTAATTTTAATTAAAGTTAAAATTAAAATTAATTTTAAATTAAATTTAAATTAAAAGTCAATTTTTATCTCTTCAATTAAAACAAAAAGATTAAAAGCAAATTCGGGCTTTTCGTGGCTGCTGCTAAGACACTTTGGCCGAACATTAAATGAAATAGGTTCTAATTAAGGGTTTAGGGTTTAGGGTTTAGAGTTTAGGGTTTAGGGTTTAGGGTTTAGGGTTTAGGGTTTAGGGTTTAGGGTTTAGGGTTCAGGGTTTGGGGTTTAGGGTTTGGGGTTTTTATTTATCTTTTGAAATTTGCAAAAACAGAAAATGCGGCCTCGCGGTGTATGCACAGCTCCTCCTGGCGTGGCCTCTTGAAGTTGAAAATAAATAAAATATTTAATTTATAATTTTAAATTTGAACAATTCAAATTAAATTAACTAAATTAAATTAAATTAAATTAAATTAAATTAATTAAATTAAATTAATTAAAATAAAATAAATTGAAAAAGATTTGAATTGGCGTTTTGGGGTGTATGGTCACCTCTTGCGATCTTTGAAATTGAAATGCGGAATTTGAAGTTTGAAATTCACTTTTGAATTTATTTATTTTATTTTTAATTTAATTTTAATTTTAATTTCATTTATTTCATTTTAATTTCAATTTCTTTTTAATTTCTTTTTAATTTCATTTCTTCGAGACAGCTGCATGCATGCGCTGCGCAGCAAGGCCCCAGCTCTGCTGCAGCAGCAAAAAGGGGAGAAATAAAAGCGAAGTTAAACCAAATTAAATAAATAAATAAATAAATAATAAATAAATAAATAAATAAATAAATAAATAAATAATAAATAAATATATATATTTCAGAACTAAATGCAACTTGCAGCTTTTGCTGCATTCAAATCTTCTTCTGATCAAATCTACGCTAAGACTTGTAAAGTAAGCAGCACTTTAATTCAAAAACTTTTATTTCTTTTTTTTTAATTTATTTTAAACTTCAGAGCCTTGAGTTGAATCCAGGCAAGCTGCAGCTCATTTAGGGTTTAGGGTTTAGGGTTTAGGGTTTAGGGTTTAGGGTTTGGGGGCTAGGGTTTACGGCTCCGCTGTGTGCGCAGCTGCTGCTGCTGCGCAGCAGCAGCAGCTGCTGCTGCTGCTGCTGCTTCAGGGCAACATAAGCAGCTTTTTGAACTAGGAGGAAATCCCGGGGAAAACAAAAGTCTTAAAACAAAGTTGCAATTCAAATAAGGCAAAAAAGGCAGCAGCAGCAGCAGCAGCAGCAGCAGCAGCAGCAGCACCTGCTGCTGCTGCTGCTGCAGCAGCAGCAGCAGAAAATGTGGTTTCTTGAGGTGTATCGACGGAGGGAGGAAGTTCGCCTGGAGTATTTGGCGCAGCTGAGGTGTACAGACAGCTCGCACTGCCTTGTTGCATTTAATTGCAACTAAAATAAATAAAAAAGTTCATTAAAATTACAAAATAATAATTGTTTTAATTTTATTTATTAAAATAATTAATTTTATTTATTTGTAAATCGAAAAGACGCAAAAAAGACTTCAAACAGCAAAAGCTGCGCATACACCTGAAAGGAGCTGCACGTACACCCGAAGTGCAGCAAAAGGAAAACAAAAAAAAGAAAATAAAAAAAATTAAAAAATAAAATCAGCAGCAAATTAAACATTTAAAAGAATTAATCTAATCCGAAGCTGTTCTTTTAGTTGGCCTGCTGCTGCTGCTGCTGCTGCTGCTGTTGCTGCTGCTGCTGCTGCTGCTGCTGCTGCAGAGAAAAAGCTGCAAAGTTTGAACAGGAAGAAAAGGCTGCTGTGAAGCTGCAGGCGTTTTTTCGATATTATTTGCAGAGACAAAAATATAAGAGAATTAAGTGGGTTTACAAAGTGCTGCTGCTGCTGCCTTGCTGCTGCTGCTGCCTTGCTGCTGCTGCTGCCTTGCTGCTGCTGCTGCGGCTTTGTTGCTGTTGCTGCGGCATTGCTGCTGCTGCTGCTGTTGTAGTGCTGCTGCTGTTGTTGTCTCGCTGCTGCTGCTGCTTCGCTGCTGCTGCTGCTTCCGCTCGCCGGCGGATATTTGCTGCTGCTGCTCTTCCGCCACAAATGTATAGGCCAGCACCTTATAAACTAAACCCTAAACCCTAAACCCTAGACCCTAGGCCGTAAACCCTAAACCCTAAACCCTAAACCCTAAACCCTAAACCCTTTGTTTGCAGGAAAAGCTCCCAAGTGATCCAACGAGCTTTTAGGGGCCACGTCGCTAGAGAAGCAGCAAAGCGGCAGCAGCAGCAGCAGCAGCAGCGGAAGCTGCTCGCGCTGCTGTCTTGCGCTGCTGTTGTCATCCAGAGGCAGTAATACATGCAGCAGCAGCAGCAGCAGCAGCAGCAGCAGCAGCAGCAGCAGCAGCAGCAGCAGCGCATTTGGAGCGCAACAAAAGCAGCAGCCGCTCTTTCAACGCAGCTGATGCAAAACAAACAAAGAAGCAAACCAATAAATAAATAATTAAATTGATTAATTAATTAATTAATTAATTAATTAATTAATTAATTAATTAATTAATTAATTAATTAATTATAATATTTATTTATTTATTTATTTATTTATTTGCTGCTTCCAGCTTCAGAGGCTACAGCTGCAGGAAGAAAGTGCTGGATATGGCGGCCCGCCGCCGCTTCATGGAGAGCCTTGCTGCAGCAGTGAGCAGCAGCAGCAGCAGCAGCAGCAGCAGCAAATAAATAAATAAATAAATAAATAAATAAATAAATAAATAAATAAATAAATAAATAAATAAATAATAAAAGATAGTAAATTAAGGGAAGTTAAAAGATGCATTTATTGCCATTCGTTTTTTGTTTTCGAAGTTGCACTCTTTTGCTGCTGCTGCATTTAAATTTATTTATTTTTATTTTATTTATTTATTTATTTATTTATTTATTTTTATTTTGTTTATTTACTTATTTTTATCGGTTTTAATTCTTTATTATCTTTTTGGAATTTTTCTTTTTTTCATTTTTATTTTATTTATTTGTTTTGCTGCTGCATTCTCCAGCGTTGTCGCGGTGTATGTGCACCTGCTGCTGCTGCTGCTGCTGCTGCAGCAGCAGCTGCTGCTGCTGCTGCTGTTGCTGCAGCTGTTGCTGCTGCTGCCGAGGCTGCTGCTGCTGCTGCGTATGTCTTTTCAGGCTGCATCGATGCAGCAAACACTCACAGAGACGCAGCAGCAAACTGCAAATGAGAGACAAGTACCTTTTGACGTTGCTGCTGCTGCTGCTGCAGTTGCTGTTGCTGCTGCTGCAGCTGTTGCTGTTGCTGCTGTTGCTGCTGCTTGCTGCATGCCTTCTGCTTCCTATTTGTTTGCTTTTGTGTTCCCTTTCTCTCTGTACTGCCCTATATTTTTAATATTTCTGCGTTCGCTGCTGCTGCTGCTGCTGCTGCTGCTGTTGCTGCAGCTACAGGAAGCAGCAACCCTAGCTGCTCGCTTTGCTGCTGCTGCTCAGCGGCAGCACCACCTGCTCTCCACACAAGCAATTCCTGGTGCGTTGCTGCAGCAGCAACAGAACCAGCAGCTGCTGCTGCTTCTCGTTGTGCTGCTGCCGCTTTATTGCCTGCTGCAGCTGCTGCTGCTGCTGCTGCTGCTGCTGCTGCAGGTGTTTACGTGAGGCGCCCCAAAATTGATGCCTGTGCATACCGCCGCGAGACGCGTCTGCAGCAAGTGCCTTCTGCTGCTGCTGTGGCAGCAGCAGCAGCAGCAGCAGCAGCAAAGCGGCAGTTGAGCCCGCGGCGGGTGCTTGGCGTAGAAGTCGATTTGCTGCTGCAGAAGCCCTCTGCTGCTGCTGCTGCAGCGCAGCAGCTCGCAGCAGCAAAGGGAGCAGCAGCACTTGTTCAGGAACTGAAGCAAGCCAATGCGCTGCTGTCTCTCCGAGCCCCGAATCAGCAGCAGCAGCAGCAGCAGCTGCAGCAGCAGCAGCAGCAGGCGCTGCAGCAGCAGCTGCGCAGCAGCACCACGAGGGGCAATCATGAAGAAGCGGCAGAGCCAGGGAAAAAAAGATAAACAAAAATTTTAAATGTAATTAAATTTAAAATTAAAAATAACAAAAGATAAATACAAAATAAATAATTCATTTAGCTTTATTGAAAAGAAATAAAAGAAGCACTGCAGTTCCAACATGAACCGCAAACTAGGGCAGCAGCAGCAGCAGCAGCAGCGGAAGCAGCAGCAGCAGCAACAGCAGCAGCAGCCGTAGCAGCAACAGCAGGATCCTACGTCATTGCTGTAGCTCGAACACCAGCAGAAGCAGCAGCAGCAGCAACAGCAGCAGCGGCTGCCGTAGTATCCGTGGGCAGCAGCAGCAGCAACAGCAGCTGCCGTAGTATCCGTGGGCAGCAGCAGCAGCAGCAACAGCAGCAGCAGCAACAGCAGCAGCAGCAACAGCAATTTGCTAAGACAAATAGAGGGAGCTTAAAGTCGGTAGAGAAACACCCGAGAGCCCTTGCAGCTCTTGCTGCGCTCTGGCAGCAACTGCTGCAGCAGCAAGACAGACACAAGCTGCTGCTGCTGCTGCTGCTGCTGCTGCTGCTGCTACTCGGGTGCAGAGGCAATCGCCTCCTTCTTGCAGCAAATAAAGTTCCCAACCGCAGCAGCAGCAGCAGCGAGACTGCTCTGCTCCTCTTGCTGCTGCTGCTGCTGCTGCTGCTCTGCTGCTGCTGCTGCTGCTGCTGCTGTGTTACTGCTCCTCCTGGTCATCGCTGATGGGGGAGACCTCTGTGGGGTCAATTGGCTGCGCAGCAGATTGCTGCAGCAGCTGCTGCAGCGACGCAAGAGTCTCGCGCTGCTGCGGCGACAGCACATCCTGCTGCTGCTGCTGCTGCTGCTGCTCTTGAGGCACTGCGGCCTCCAGCTGTTGCTGCTGCAGTTGCTGCTGCAGTTGCTGCTGCAGATGCTGCTGTTCTGGAGGAGCTGCTGTCTCCAGCTGCTGCAACAGCGGCCCTTCTTGCAAGTTGTGCAAAACGGGGCATCCTTGCTGCTCGTGCTGCTGCTGCTGCTGCTGCTGCTGCTGCTGTAGCTCCAGCTGCTGGTGCTCCTGCTGCTGCTGGAGTGTATCAATTGCTGCAGCAGCACATGCAACGTCCTCTGCTGCGTCTTGCTGCATCGGCTGCAGGTCCTGCTGCTGCCCTTCCTGCAAGTCTTGCTGCTGCTGCAGTGCTTGCTGCTGCTGCAGTAATTGCTGCTGCTGCAATGCTTGCTGCTGCTGCTGCAGCGCTTGCTGCTGCTGCTGCTGCAGCGCTTGTTGCTCCTGCAACGCCTGCTGCTCCTGCAGCGCTTGCTGCTGCTCCTGCAGCTCTTGCTGCTGCTCCTGCAGCTCTTGCTGCTGCTGCAACGCTTGCTGCTGCAGCTGCTCATCTAGTGCTAATTGACTTTCCATTTCGCGCCGCTCAGCCTCCTCTGCTGCTGCTGCAGCAGTTGCTGCTGCAGCGCAGACTGCAGCAGCAACTGCTGCTGGCCTGATTCCTAGAGTTTCCTGCTCTTGCTGCTGCTGTTGCTGCTGCTGCTGTTCCATCTGGGCCTGAAGCACTTCTTTGTGCCCCTCAGCTCTTTGAGCGCTCTCTGCCTGCTGCAGCTCCTGACCCCTCCCCTGCTGCTGCTGCTGCTGCTGCTGCTGCTGCTGCTGCTGCTGCCGTGTGCGCTGCCTGCGCTGCGGCAGCGCAGCAGATGCTGCGTTGAAATGACTCTTGCGGCGGTGGTGAGGAGTGAAGAGAAAAGCTGACAAAGGCACAAACCTGCAGCAGCAGCAGCAGCAGCAGCAGCAGCAGCAGCAGCAAGGTGGAGGAATGTGCAGCAGCAGCAGCAGCAACAGCAGGGTAGAGAGGGTCCAGCAGCGGCAGCAAGCTTGAGGCCGGAACAGCAGCAGCACGCGTTGAGTTCAGTGCAGCAGCAGCAGCAGAGACGCGACGCAGCAGCAGCTATACATGCAAGCAGCAACAGCAGCAGCAGCAGCAGCAGTTCTTGCTGCTGCTGCTACCAGGCCAAAAAGAAAAAAGGAAAAAGAGATAAGAAATATGCTGCAGCAGCACACCTAAATTGCTGCTGCTGCTGCAGCTGCAGCAGCAGCTCAGGCGTTACGTGAGTTTTGTGCAGATCTGCTGCAGACGGCTGCGCCACAACTTCATAAAGCTGCTGCTGCTGCTGCTGCTGCTGCTGCTGCTGCTGCTGCTGCTGCTGCTGCTGGCGGCTTGTGGCTCCACTGTGGGGTCTCCAGGCAGTCTCCAGCTCGTCTTTGTCAGCTTCTGCTGCTGCTGCTGCTGCTGCTGCTGCTGCTGCTGCTTGCTGTTGCTGCTCGCCCAGCGGCCCGCTGCCGCTGCCGCTGTCGCCGTGGCTTCCATCCGCGCTGCTGCTGCTGCTGCTGCTGCTGCTGCTGCTGCTGCTGCTGCTGCACTTGGCGAAGAAGCGCTGGACGGGAGGCAGCAAAAAGAAAAGATCTTCTTCAAAGAAATAAGTCCCTAAAAGATGAGAAGGCGACAGCAGCGGGGGCCTTATGGGCTGGCCTTCTGCTGCTTCTGCGCTGCAGCTTGCTGCAGCAGCAGCAGGAGCAGCAAAAGGCAGCGGCAGCCGCAGCCGCAGCAGTGAGAGGGCCCCCAGCCATGTTGCTGCTGTTGCTCGCCGAGGCCCTGCTGCTGCTGCTGCTGTTGCTGCTGCTGCTGCAGTGCTGCTGCGGCTGCTCAGACAGACGCAGCGCGGGCCCTCGGAAGCTGGCGGCGTGCTGCTGCTGTCGCAGCAGCAGCAGCCCTTGCTGCTGCTGCAGCTGCTGAGGGCCTCAGCCCCAGCTATGCAGTGCAGCAGCTGCAGCAGCACATGATTTACTAAGCAGCAAACATAACTCAAGTCCCGCTGCAGCAGCGAAGCAGACACCTGCAGCGGATACAAGCCGAAGTAGGCCGTGGGCAGCGCCACCTCGCAAGGCTCCTCGCTGCTGCTGCTGCTGCTGCTGCTGCTGCTGCTGCTGCTGCTGCTGCTGCTGCTGCTGCTGCTGCTGCTGACTGGCTGCGCTGCGGCGACGCACGACCCCCAGGAAGCCGTTACGGGCAGCAGCACCCCGTGCTCAGCAGCAGCAGCAGCAGCTGCTGCTGCTTGAGACTCGCCGTCCGTTAAAGATGCTGCTGCTGCCCCAGCAACGCCGCTGCTGCTGCTGCTGCTGCTGCTGCGGTGGCAGCCAATAGCAACAGCACTCAGGGCCCGCAAGACTGCCGCAGCATCCATGCACCTCGGCAGCAGCAGCCAGCCTGCAGCAGCAAGTCAAAGCAGCAGCAAATTAAGCACCAGCAGCAGCAGCAGGGTAAACAGCAGCAGCAGCACGCCACTAGCAGCAGCAACCAATGACGCGATATGGCTATCGTCAAAAAGAATACTGACTGCAGCAACACCAGCCAGCAGCAGCAGCAGCAGCAGCAGCAGCAGCAGCAGCACACCATCTCCTCTCGCTCTGGCTGTCTCTGCGAACTCGAATAGCTGCCAGCCGCACAACTGCTGCTGCAGCGCAGCAGCAGCAGCTTCTCCCCAGTGGGCCTTCTGCAGCAAAAGACAGCAAGCAGACACATCTGCGCAATAGCAGCCTGCTGCTGCTGCAGCAGCCTGCTACTGCTGCAGCAGCAGCTACTGCTGCAGCAGCAGTAGCTGCTGCTGCAGCAGCAGCTGCTGAAAGGCAACGGGCAGGATACAGCAGCAGCTGCGCTAGCGACAGCAGCAGCCCCCGCAAAGACAGCAGCAGCAGCAGCAGCAGCAGCAGCAGCAGCAGCAGCAGCAAGAAGCGCGTACCGCGAATGAGGCTAAGAAGGCATCTAGCTGCGCCAGCAAATGAGCAGCCAAGGCGTTGGGAAGGTGCAGCACCCGCAGCAAGTGGCTGGCAGCAAATATTTCTTCCCGCGGCGACTCAGCAGCAGCAGCAGCAGCAGCAGCAGGAGCAGCAGCAGGAGCAGCAGGCAGCGCAAACTGCCCTGGGAAGGCGAACCCCTCGTAGCTCAGCCACTCAGAAGGGTAGAAACCCCTCGCTGCAGCAGCAGCAGCAGCATGCAGCAGCAGCAGCAGCATGCAGCAGCAGCATGCAGCAGCAGCAACGTGCAGCAGCAGCAGCATGCAGCAGCAGCAGCAGCAACGCTGCAGCTGCCAAATACAAAATAGCCGAATAACAACTAAAACGAATAACTAAAATATAATTATAAATAATAAATAAAAAACAAACTGCTGCTGCTGCTGCAGACTAACCTGACTCCCGCTGCAGCAGCCGCTGCAGTGCTGCTGCCGTAGCAGCAGCAGGAGCAGCACCAGCATGTTTTGCTGCTCGCGACAAAAAGGCAGCCCACGGGAACCACTCTGTCTCTTCCTGAAGGACAAATAATAAATAAAAATAATTAATTAATTAATTAATTAATTAATTAATTAATTAATTAATTAATTAATTTGCTGCAGGGGATGCGCTGCACCTGCAGCAGTCACTGTGCTGAAGGGAGCTGCAGCAGCAGCAGGAGCAGCGGCAAACGGAGCAGCAGCAGCAAACGAAGCAGCAAGGGCTGCAGCAGCAGCAGCAGCAGCAGCAGCAGCAGCAGCAGCAGCAGCAGCAGCAAGCCGCACTCCTTGAGATGGCAAGATTTCGTAGTTAACAGACACGTCTGCTTCCGCCTCTTCAGCCACATCTCCTGCTGCTGCTACTGCAGCAGCAGCAGCAGCTGCTGCTGCAGCCTCTTCTGCTGCGGCGTTGCCGCTGTCATTGCTGCTGCTGCTGCTGCTGCTCTGCTCGTTTCTAGAGCTGTCCACGGAAGCTTCTGCTGCAGCAGCAGGTGCACCGCCTGCTGCTGCGGGCAGCGCTGCTTCTGCTGCTGCTGCTGCTGCTGCTGCAGCAGAGTCCTCCTCAGAAAGAGAAGTTGCTTCCTGAATAACGAGCTGCTGCAGCGCAGCAGGGGGCAGGCTGAAGTAGAGGTGCTGCAGCAGCACAACACGCAGCCACACACACGGAACTAGACGCAGCCCCGCAGCAGCAGCAGCAGCAGCAGCAGCAACAGCAGCAGCAGCAACAGCAGCAGCAGGGTGTACCTTGCTGCCAGCGAGGAGACTGTAGCCATTCCTTGCTGCTGCAGCAGCAGCAACAGGAGGCAGCAGCGCCCCCCCGTTGGGTAGGATCAACCCTGCTGCGTCAACAGCAGCCACGAGCCCCTTCGTGTCTGCTGCTGCTGCTGCTGCTGCTGCTGCTGCTGCTGCTGCTGCTGCAGACTCCTGCTGCACCGGCTGCTCCAAAGAGGCCTCGAGGGCGTCGCGGCTGAGCGCGGCGCAGAGCCCCTCGCCCCAGTCTAGAGAAGCAGCAGACTCCCTGCAGCAGCAGCAGCAGCAGCAGCAGCAGCAGCAGCAACGCCGGCAGGTGCAGCAGCAGCAGGTGCTGCAGCACTTGAAACGGCAGCAGCACGAACTGCCTTGCTACCGGCGCCACAAGAAAAGCTTCGCGCTGCAAACTATTCCAACTGTCTAAAACCCTAAACCCTAAACCCTAAACCCTAAACCCTAAACCCTAAACCCTAAACCCTACTTACACACTGCGTGCGCAGAGCCGCAGCTGCCCTTCTGGCCACAGCAGCAAATGGAGCTGCACACATCTTTCGCCCTTTGGCTTCCGATCCGTTGTTGCTGTTGCTGCTGCTGCTGTCGGTGATGCTGCTGCTGCTGCTGCTGCTGCTGCTGCTGCTGCTGTTGCTGCGGTTGGAGACGCAGCATCTGCTGCGGGCGCTGCTTGCGAGTCCGCTGCTGCTCCTCCATTGAGTTTCTTTGCTGGCGGCTCGCCTTGCTGCTGGCCTCCCTGCTGCTGCTGCTGCTGCTGCTGCTGCTGCTGCAGCTGCTGCTGCTGCTTCCTCAGGGAGGCTAGAGTTTCTGCTGCATCATCAACAGCCCAAACGAAAAGCGGCACCCGCAGCAGCTGCCGCAGGGCCTCAAAGGACTGCAGCAGCAGCAAACCCCAGCCGCTGCAGCGGCCGCTCCCAGGGCACACACCTGCAGCAGCAGCAGCAGCAGCAGCAGCAGCAGCAGCAGCACAGCAGCAACCATTAGCGCCGCTCCTCGCAGCTCTCCCTCCGCGCTGCAGCGGCCAGCCGCGCGCGACACCAAGCAGCAGCAGCCAAACAGCAGCAGCAACCGCAGCAGCAGCAGCAGCAACTGCAGCAGCAGCAGCAGCAGCAGCAGCAGCAGCAGCAGACCCAGCAGCAGCGCAGCAGGAGGCGCGTTCCACTTGCTGAAGTGCTGCAGCAGCAGCTGCCGCAAAGGCCTGCAGCGCAAATTCGGCAGCGAAGTCAGCAGCAGCGCGGGGCGGGCCCGGGGCCCCAGGGCCCCCCGCCAAGCAGCAGGAAGTCTGGAGGGCCACACGTGGGGTTTCTTCTCTGCTGCTGCTGCTGCTGCTGCTGCTGCTGCTGCTGCTGCTGCGGAGGCGGAGCAGGGCGGGGTCAGAGCAGCAGCAGCGGCGGCGCCGTCGCCCGCCGACGCCGGAGACGCCTGCTGCTGCTGCTGCTGCTGCGCTGCGGCGGCTTGCTGCTTCGACTCGGGCTCTTGCTGCTGGTCCTGCTGCTGGTCCTGCTGCTGCTGCTGCTGCTGCTGCTGCTGCTGCTGCTCGTGCGGCGGCGTGGCCGCAGCGCCCTCCTGCTGCAGCGCCGCGGCGGCCTCCCCGTCCTGCTGCTGCTGCTGCTGGGCGCGCTGCTTGTCCTGCTGCTGCTGCAGCTCCTGCTTGCGCTGCAGCTCCTGCTGCTGCTGCTGCTGCTGCTGCTGCTGCTGCTGCTCGTGTCTGTGCCGCTCCTCCCTGTGCTGCCGCGCCTGCGTCTCCCTAACAGCAGCAGCAAATTGCTGAAAGAGCTCCAGCAGCCTTTGGCTCTCCTGCTCCGGGTGTACGTACACCGCGTCCCGCACCAGCCACGGGCTCCGCTGCGCAGCAGCAGACGCCGTGCAGCAGCAGCAGCAGCAGCAGCAGCAGCAGCAGCGGCGCGTCAGCAAGAGCCGCACGGACACACAGCCTCCTCAAAACAGCAGCAGCAGCAGCAGCAACAGCAAGTCCCAGCAGCACCACCCCGGCCCCTGCAACAGCAGCAGCAAAACTGCAGCAGCAGCAGCAGCAACAGCAGCAGCAGCAGCAACAGCAGCAGGAAAACTGCAGCAGCAGCAGCAACAGCAGCAGAACTAAGAAGCTACCTGGGTCTCATATCTGCGTCTCGAAGGCTGAGAGCCCTATTAAGATAGTGCTGCTGGTCGGCGCTGCTGCCCCAGTTGTCTCTGTGCTGCTGCTGCTGCTGCTGCTGCTGCTGCTGCTGCTGCTGCTTCCTGGGGCCCCCTCCCCACCTGCCTCTGCTGTCGCTCATACCCCCGGGGCCCCTGCGGCTAAAGTCTGCGCGGCTGCGGGGGCCCCCGGGGGCCCCCGGGGGCCCCCGGGGGGCCCCATGGGGGCCCCCATGGGGGCCCCCATGGGGGCCCCCATGGGGGCCCCCCGGGGGGCCCCCGCAGCCGCGGGGCCACGGGGGCAGCGGGGGGCCCCCCCCCTCCCCGCCGTGGCCGTAGAAGAAGGGGGGGGGCCCCCCAAAGTCTGGGGGCAGGGGGCCCCTAGCAGCAGCGCCGTCTCTCTCGGGGAGTCCTGTGGAGCCGTACCCATGCTGCTGCTGCTGCTGCTGCTGCTGCTGCTGCTGCTGCTGCTGGTGGTAGCGCCCCGCTGCTGCGTCTGCAAGGGCGTCCCCGTAGTGGGGGCCCCCGTAGCCGTAGGGGGCCCCCCCACCCCTCATGGGGGGCCCCTCTTGCTGCTGCTGCTGCTGCTGCTGCTGCTGCTGCTGGCTGGGGCCCCGGGGGCCCCTCGAGTAGTGGGGGGGCCCCTCGGGGGCCCCGCTGCGGGTCCTGGGGTATCTGCTGCGGGAGTAGGGGGGGGACCCCTCGCCGCTGCTGCGCTGCTGCTGCCGCAGCCTGCTGCTGCTGCTGCTGCTGCTGCTGCTGCTGCTGCTGCTGCTGCTGAAGGGTCTTTCGTACTCATAGCCCTCGGCCCGGAAGGGGGGCCCCTCAGCAAAGGCCTCGCTGCTGTAGGAGCTTCTTCGGGGGCCCCCCTCATGGGGGCCCCTGCTGCTGCTGCTGTGGCTGGGGCCCCTGCTGCTGCTGCTGGGGCCCTTGCTGCTGCTGCTGCTGGGGCCCCCCCCCCAGCCCCCGTCCACGAGGCCCC